CCAACACTACCTGTGGCCAGTTGCAGAAATAGTCCTGTTCATGGATTTATCCACTGTGATCATACTGATTTATCTTTGCTTACTAGATGTTCTGTTTTCATCCCTCCAATGCAAACTATTTTTCATGGGCTCAGGTCTCACTGTAGGCTCACTGTGAACACCCATGTTAGTGCCAGCATTCTATTACAGGCATAATCCAGGCATAAATCATGAATCCATACACTACTAGAATTCTTGCATATAAACTGTAAGAGGGGTGGCACTCCTTGGTATTTATTCTTAAACACAGTCATGGTACATGTACTTAGTATGGTGGTTTTCCTTGAAGGCAGCTGGACTCTTTTTTTTTCTAAGTACGGTAATTTATACATTTTAAAGAGCTGCCCATTTAAACAAACTAAAAAAAAAAAACAATTCTGGGTAGAGAAGCCAAACATGAGAAACAAAAATTACAATGTGAAGATCGAGAAGAATTTTAATTTCAATTTTTTTTTCTCTTTTTATTTCTGAGGAACTGTTATGTTCCTCAGACTGAGGACTACAGCATTGCAGCCTTGAGTTCATTCAACTGGGCAATGCAGCCCTGACATCTGTTGCCTAACACTGTCACCAAATATGCCAGAACAGCAAAATATGACAGCCAAGGGGTAGCCTGGTAACCAGACCGCCGTGAGCTCAGCGCTATCTCTTTGGCACTGAGAGCGTTTTGGGCTGCCAAACCAGGTCCCAATTACCATGCGCCGGGGAGGTTTTAGGTTTCTTCACTTGTCTAACAACTTCAGCGGCAACAGAAGACTAAGCGTAATACAGGGAGTCAGCAGATATAAGGAAAACAGCTGGAGATAGGTCTGTGGTATAGCTCGCCTGTGCTTGGTAAAGGTCGGGGCTGAAAAATTACCGTCAAGCCAACCAAAGGTTTGGTACCCAGGCTAGCCAAGGGGAGGGAAAAATTCATGTAACGGTCTTGCAAGCACGTCGGCAGAACGTAGTCTGCATCTGCGCGAAACCCGTAATGTATTGTACATAGCATTTTGGCAAAATGTCTCATACAAGGTTGTATTCGCTCATATAAGGTTAGCATTTCGACAGTAGTTTCCAAATACCCAACGAAAAACCCAACGAAAAACGCGAAAATCCGGGGTTCTGCGCAGGCGCAGTACGTTCTGCTGACGTGCTGGTCTTGCAGATGTTACCCATCTAGCAAACATTCTGAAACACTGCTGATAAAGAAAAAGACATAAAAAGTACCTTGCAGCAGCAAAGTGTTAAAATTGATGTTTAATGTTAAAACTGTGCTTAAAGCTAAAGAACAAAAAGAGTAGCTATAGCAATAAATTATTGTACTAAAATTGATAGCAAAGCAAACTTAAAGGTCATTTGATGTGAATCCGAATTTACCTTAAATTTGATTTGTTTCAGCATTTGAGTTCTAGCTTAGGAATTACATATTCTACATCTGTTGTTTCTTGATTGAGGTAGAATTCAATGAATACCAAAGCTATATTCATATTGGGCCACTCGAAAACAGACAGCAGAAATTGAAAATGATACACATTTCTTAAGTGTATAGTTTTGCTAGTGAACATCAGTGCGTACTTGTTTTTTTATTTTGTCTCACACAAAGATTTCTCCTCTGGTAGATGTTATCTTCAGAATGTAATTGCTGTGGTTCTGCCTGACATCATGACCTAACTTTCAGCATATGTGGGTGTGAGTAGCCTAGGAGGCAGGCTCCCTTACAAGAGATAAATCACACCTCGAACACTGTGATTGTAACCTTTTACTGTGTGTTCCCAGGCCTGTAATACAGTTTAACCTTTGTCATATGACTCTGCACAATTTGTCCCTGTTTCCAGTCAAGTCTGACCCACAGGACAAACAAAGCCAAACAAACAGCACTCAATAAACAAGACCCACATTGAAGTTCAGTGGCTTTTTCCTTTGGATATGATGAAAGGCAGCAGGCTCAGTGTTGAAAAATGATTTATCATGATGCAGGCTTATTTGGGTCTATCTGCAGCTCATCTGGCAATACATCATAGACTGGCACAGGTGTATAGATGTCAGCTGAACTACACTACAGTTTTATGTTTGGCAATGATGAGGACTACATTTACCTATCGATTTCTGTAGCTTGTCATCATCACACTAAGATGGAGCAAAGGTTATGGACATATGTTTACTTATGATATATCATCTACTCAAAACTAAGCAAAGGTTGTTTTGAAACCAGGCATGCATGATTGATAGAGATACATGTATGATATTATCCTAGTATACAGTTTCAAATTCCATAAATGGGTTGTAGTGCTGCCATAAATACATACTCTGAAACATCATAACAACTTGTGAGCTTTGATACAAGTTCAAAGACTCAAGGTTTGCTGGTATTTCATTTTGAAGTTTTCTTCCAGGGTTCATTCAGGACTGGTGCTTTCCATGTATGTGGGCAAATCAGATAAACAGCCCATAAAATAAATATATTCACTGATATCTACCTACTCTCCTCAGAAAGTGCTGAATGTTTTAAAAATACTCAGTTTACTAAAGGACTAGTCATGCAGACCATAGTTTAGCTGTTTTTGTATGTATACTGTCATCTGTACTGTAAATTACAGTTGTATGAATTTGAAAACCAAGGATTGTGCTTGCCAAGTAAACCACTCAATCAAGACTTTCAAAAACCATTCAACATAAAGTGCAGAATGTAATATAACCAAGAGTATGGATCATTTGCTTGATACTCTGGTGGTGATGAAAATAGCCACAGGAATAGAATACAAAATACATGTCTTGTAAGAGGATGTATATTTTTACTGCCATGTAGTTCTGAGATAACTCTCTGTGTCTGAAGGATATAGAACAGTAAGTGAGAGTGTATCAAAATACAAATTACTAGCTTTAGATAACAGGAAGTATATGATAAATCTACAATATATTTATTCATATCAATGAGATATTCAACATTTACATTCAACATCATTTACAATTTATTATACTTTTGAAGTTTTCCATAGATTGTCATTATGTCATATTAATAACTGTACAAATGTGTATGTATATATACATGTATATTCAAAGAGCTTTAAATTCTGATTTTTAATCTCCTTGGTATACATGTATGAATATGCCTCTTGTTTCACACAATCTGCCTGGTTTGTTTGTGAAAAAAAAACTGAATTTCTAACCCACCAACTGTTACAGTAAAGTAGAGACATCTTAAATCCCTGAGACTCCAGTAGAAGACATGAATACAGACATATGACAAGGCCAGGACATTAAGGTGTCACTATTGTATAGTAGAGACCTTTGCTTCACACGTCCACGACCCCCATGGTTGACCTTCTGACCCTAATATCTCACCTAGCTGCCGGCTCATTCTGCTAAGTCATCCCCGAATTATGATGGTGACACAGTTGTCCACGGGCTAAGTCTTTGCTTTTATGTCCGAAGAATAGTGTTCCATGGACATGCAGAGTAAGAGCAATAGGGTACATTTTACAGAGGTCAGGGTCAGAATGACCCTTATTTCACTCCCATGACCCCCAGAACTTGTGATGGCCTGAAGGCCCTCGTACCTTTAATCATTGGCCAGATCTATTGGTCCATAGATGCTGGAGAGTTAAAGATGTATTAAAATTGTACAAAAGGGTAGGTCAAGGGTGAGGGTGGTTTTATCTCTCATCATGGTTGAGATATGCGTTACAGCAACATTTACCACAATCATCATTTAAAGCCATCATTGTAAAACAGTGTAAAACAGAAGAAATACTGGATAACAGCAGTATTATATATGAAAATATGGTTTCTAGTATGTACATGTATATTAAGTATACCTAAGGCTATTGCTGACCTACATGTACACTGTACCTCAAAGCATACTGACTGAAATGTGTGCATGTGTACTTGACAACCAGCATTGTGAATTTATATAAAAGAGAATACTTAATGAACAATGATGAAAATTATATCTGTAGTCAATTTAATATTTATCATAACATGGATATTTCATAGCAATGATGGGTTCCTAAAGTGAAAATGCTCCTAAAGTGAAAATGCGCAAGTGTATAGGCTGAACTAGTAATTTTAACATTACCTACTGTGCAGATTCTAGACCTGCAATGTTAGCAATGTTAAACAAGCAATGAAAACTGTGAGGTGTACATTTTCATATTTTCTATACATTTCCATGTACATGTATGTCTTGTCTTTATTTTGTGTTTGTTTATTTGTTTGTTTCAGGCTGATATTCTGGACATCAATGAGATTTTCAGGGACCTGGGTACCATGGTACATGAACAAGGAGAGATGATTGGTGAGTACCACAGATAGAAAACTGGTTACTTTGTGTGCTGAGCAGGTTTGACGGCCTGAATTACATGGTACATGATAAAATTGATTTTCTGGGTGATGAATGATAAAAGATGTAACCCAAGGGTAACCTTCAAAATTACAAGTAACTGTATAATCTAAGTTACATACAGCTGCAAACCCTAAAATAGATTTAAAAAAAGAGATTTTATTGATTATATTTGTAAAGGAAAATGTAAAACGTATGTTCTGAAAGTTACCTGTATGAATGAGTAATATCATGGTGTTTTGGGAATACTGGATATTCTTTGATGGAAATAGTTTTTGAAAGGAAGAATCATGTCTGACCCCCAAGGCATTGACCTTGTTGCACTTAAATTAAGTTTGGTAAAGTTAGAAATGTTCTAGAAAAGTAGGAAGGGGGAGGGGGGCGTGATCAAGGCGGGATCACAATTTCAGAAATGCAATGTCTTCTCTCTCTCTCCATCTCTTATTTTATCTGTGCCTGTTAGTCATGTTTACATCTCATGTCAAAATGGAATCCTCCCATCAGAATTTGCAATGAACCCTCTAACCTTTGAGCAAACTCATCAAGCCTTGTTGATTCCAGCCCCATATCTCAGCCTGTAAGTAAGAGACATGCTCAACAACTGCTGTGACCCTCTATGCGCACATTACAAATTGACTGCCTGTCTTATATATTACAACCACGGCTATCTCCCCTGTTAACATACGTACATACATCTCCACTGTTATTGCATGGATTTGAAGATTGTAACTGAAATCTGTTGGAAAGATCTTGTATAAGGAGAAATAGTTCTGTCAGTTCAATGTCTTCGTTGGTAGCAGGTGATAACAAACTACCTACAGCAGGGGTCAAACTAGAGTTTACAGCTTGTAAATCTTTCTGGTTTGATGTACAATGTACTACATTTGTACCTTAGACTCTGGTAGTCTGCTTACAATTTTGCAGACAACACCAATAATCATTAGTTTGAGTAGTCTGAAAGGCTGCAAGATGTATGAATCTCTCAAAAGAGTTTTACTCAGCAGTGTTTTTGTCATCCATTTGTATTGACCTGTGAGACACTAAGCAAAGTACCCTGTTCCAACAAGTCATCCAAACTTTCTCCTAGCTGCAGGAAGTGCATCACCTTGATGACTGTCTGATGCACTCAGCAGTACCTGGACTGGTGCATTAGTGCCTTTGACATGCAGTTGTGCCGCCACAGGAATTGTGCCCACCTCGGCAAAGTTGATGAATGTGAGAAGGTTTCACCTGTGATGGAGAGTCTGACCCTGCACAGTTCAACTGTGCCCTACTTTCTCATGTATTAGTGCAGGCCATGCGTGAGTGGTATCCCCCCTCTGACGGCTTCACCCGATGTCATGGCTACTGTTATTAAGGCCGAAACCAATTCAGGCAGCCCCAATAACGGAGCCGGAACCCCGTCTGCCTCTCACACCTTTGGCCTCACCTACATTTTACCAGCAGGCTCATTCCAGTTGCCTTGGTGGAGACAGATTGTTCCCAGCGGTAGTCCCTTCAGCTACCCCCCATTTAGGGTGTGAGTCTGATAGCCAAAGTACACTGGCCTGAATTACCTTACATATTGACAGAAATCTTGATGTACTATTATATGTAAATTGGGCAAAAGCCTTTCATCTCTTTCTGCACATCAATGAAAACCTGACTAGCAGGTGTGCAGAAACCTGAAGTGGATATGAGAAACATGTTGAAGATATAAATGAGATCCTTGGGTTGAATAAGTGGATGTACTTAAACCCTATATATATCCCTAAGGAGATCTGGTACTATAAAGCTGAGGAGTTTGCCCAAAAATGTTTATTGGAAGCTGAATAAGATATTGTGTTCAGCAAGAGAAAAATTCTGAAATACAATCTACACACAGATACACATAGAATGATAGCAGACTGGTGTCTCAGAAGACAAGGGACAAGAGAGTGAAAGATTGAAAGAGTAGGACAGACAGTGTAGAGAACATGTGTTGCCATTTCGCTGTCCTTAGTGCTGATTTAGTTGTGCTGCTACTGATGCTCAGGAGCCAAATGATGTTGCAGAGTTGAGTCACATAATGCATTGTATGTCAATCTCGTATGAAATGTACTGCAAATTGGATAGTCAAAGAGGCCAGAAAGGGGTTAAAAATAGGAAAAAAGTAGAAACATCCTAATCTTATGTTATTCTGTATCTATGTCTTACTTTGTACTGTTTACATGGAGCCTTGTTACCTAGTTGCTATAGTTCGACAACAGTTTGTGCTGGTGCATGTATCAACAACATCCAGAGACTCTAATTTGAAGCAGTTTTACATTCTTAATCTTTTTCTGGTATTGACTTTCCCTGAAAAATGGGCAGAGCTCAACTTTGGGGAGGGATGCAATCCCCCGCTGGTCCCTGTTTATACCAAACACTTGGATTGAGCCATTCATCACCAAGCTAATGCAGTTCCACAATGACTTCTCTCAAGGTCGTAGAGGACCTGAATGAATGGTCCGCCCTATTTGCAGTGATGGATAGAAGGTACTTGACACTTAGGAAATTGGATAATTTGGGCACCTGTCCCACTGCATTAAGTAGAACATAGGTCATAATGCTTGTAATTGTTGTTGCTGGAATTTGGTTCCTCCCTCTGTTGTGGGCAGGTCACAGGGGTAGACAGTAGAGAACCCAGGTTAAACGTGGCAGGGAAAGGGATGGTGGGTAAGTGCCTGGTCACGTCTGTTATGTGATCATCGCACAATCACAAAATAAGGGCTTTCTTGGGATAGTCATGCATATGCATGTTTACTGCATAATTCATCTCTCTTTTTAGGGAAAGGCTGTCTTAGATCATTGCTGGTGGTTGATTCTGTCAGCCTGCATGAAGATTCTTTGGTATCAAAGAATATGGCCACCTACAATGAATGTGACTGCATCATAGGGTGAAAACTTCCCATGTCCTTTTCCTTTTGACATTTTCTTACCATCCTGATTATAGAAGGAAATTATGTTGAAACTTTTAGACAGGTCTGTGTATTGGTTGTTCAATAATGATCAATTATTTAAAGATGCCTTCTATGTGTCACTGATACAAAATTCAATACAAGACCAACAAGATTATTACTATTAGAAACGTTATTTACACACAGTACGGGTAATTAAAAGTAGATGTTCTTTGCTGCCTCCCAAAAATCTAACAAATGGAGATGACTAAATAACAACAAGTGAACGCTTTATTAACATCCCTCTTTTTTTTTATTTTCGAAACGGAAGAGCCCGAGGTACATTGTAATCAGCTCGGAGTTCCTCTCATACATATATAGATCAAAGGTCAATGACCCATTTAGCAGTAAAACGCAGCTGGGACCATGTTTTCCTCTCAACCGGAGGGCTATCTCCTGTAACACAGCTGACCTCACCTCCACCCCATGCTATAAAACATCTGGCCAAACTAGGTCATTTTGTTTTCTGCTAGAAATGTGTTCTAATTATCTGAGGCAGAAAAATAGCTAGTAATTGTCTTCACTTTATAGGAGACAAATTATTATACATATATCAAGTGGTTAGTCTTGCATCTGCTTTAAACCAGGGATGATTAACAATTTGACCTAGCCAATCACATGTCACCTTCCTCAATCCCCTCCCATCATGCCTCACTCTGCCAAATCCCTCCACCCACCCCAAAATCAATCCTCGCTGCAACCTCATATACTGTAAACTAATTTCATCTTATCCCATCGGCCACCCAACATGTATATCAGTCAGCTCCACCGCCTGCAGCTGGCCTCAGTTAATAGCCAGCTCACATCAGCCCAATCCCTCCATTTAAATACAAGTATTGCTATGACTTGTTTTACTTAATGCCTCAGGAAAAAATACAGTATGGGGTGGAAATAAAGATAAAGAAATGGCTTGATTTACTTTTGTTGTTGACACAGCTGCCCACGTAGAATTAAATGCAATATTACTTTTAAGATGTAAAAGGTTATAAAAAACTTTAAATTCCACCAATCACATGTCACCTTCATGAAAAACAGCTACCATTCGCTGTGTATGGCAGTTCTTACAGTTAAATCTCCAATGCAAAGATGATAAAAAATTATGACTCTGTTGAAGTAACTTCATGGTACAGGACATTGCTAGTAGTTCATTTCTTTCGGTGAAATCTTTTGGTACAGATCTGGCAGATATCCTTATCTTGTAGCCTCATTAATGTGTGTTTTATGAAAAGTAAACATTTCCTGAACTTGAATGCCTAGCTTTATGTACATTTCTCCCGAGCTGTTATAAGTCTATGTCAAATGTCATTAGATATTATTCAAAAGATGTTGACCCATACCATGTTGAAAATTGCCCCCAGAGTGTCATCCATCTGTGTTAATCAGGATGAAAGTTTGACTGTTCACTCCATGTATGAACCAAGTGTCATTTGTGGCATCTTGCTCACCTTTCCCCAAAGAGTTCAGCCCACCATAATCTAATCACTCCTTTATGCACAAATTTGTCCTGCTTTCGGAAGTAATCTTCCTGCCACTGTAATCTTCCCCAGGTATCACGGAATCCTGTGATCAAATCACGTATGTGCCTTTTTATCCTGGGTCACTCAACAATCAGTCTATACTAATGTGATTTTTATCCCTCTGCCTCAGTATTAGGGACAGGATTACTCAGACGGTGGGCCACCAATCCACATTTCCTGCTTAGCCTGGGGAAACTGCCTTCAAGCTGGCCATATTGATGTGTATTGACATTAACCTAATCAGTCGTTAATGCTTCCTCTACTCTATTCAAAATCTCATCTGGCAAGTAGAGTTCATGGCTCTCATCCTGCCATACTCCATTCATTCTTTAAAGTTACTGCACCCTAAACTTTCAGTAGTATAGTTGATGGACCATGTGTCATAAGTTTTCTACACATGAATCTTATTCATGCAAACAGAGCAACCTCACATTACTTGCCGCTTGTAAGGTACTTGTAAACTAACTTAAAGGATCAGCAA